CTGTCCTCCCAGCAGAGCTGTTCCAGCCCTCGGAGCGTCGCTGGGGCCTCCTCTGGCCCCGCTCCAGCAGGTCCGTGTCCCTCCTGTGCCGAGGGCTCCAGGGCTGGAGCCCCAGCCAGTGCAAAGGCACGGCAGATCCTGCTGCACCTGGGATCACGCTTAGTTAAAAACCAGCTTCAGCTCATCCCTCCGAAGCCACCGGGGTATTTCCAGCCAGGAGGTGTCAGCAGAGCCCCGTGGTTGAGCGTGAGGCTCCCGGCACCCAAGGGGATGGGTATGGGGGAGAGAGCACGAGGGGCAGAGCCCAGGGCACAGGCTCAAAAGACATCCGTGCTGCTCACGTCCATGCGGCGTTCACCTTGACAAGGAGCTGGTGAACAAGTGAGGGAACCCCGGGCAGACGCTTTTTCCTGACGCTCAAATACCCTTGGTTCAGTGTGGCTTGTTTCATTTCCCAAATGAATAAAGTCAGCCAGTTAATTCTATTAACATCTATCTACTGGTATAACACAGTCAGAATCCACTTTAAGCATGTCTCATGAGGTTAAATCCAATTTGTTTTCCTTAGTACTAGTCCTTTGTATTCAAATCCAGGCTGTGGCTGAAGACCAGCCCAGACACGCCAAGACACGTGTGCTGATCCCATTCAGTTTGGGGCTTTCTGACCCAGCTGCTTGGGGTGGAAATCACCCACCAGAATCACACTTGCAGCTGTCTGGGTCTTCTCTGTATTTTAGGGTGACTGCTACCTGCACATCTCAAAGCAATCTGTAAAGCAGACCAAAAAATTGCCATAATTTTATAGCTGGAGAAACCGGAGCAGAGAAAACAGAAGCGATTTGTCCACTGACAACCAGCCGTGCATCAGGGTAGGACCCAGTTTCCTGAGCCCTGGCTCAGTTAAATGGCAGAGTGTGGCTGTCAATGACTGTAAGCAATGGGGACAGAGAGACTGACCAAAAAATGCTGCAAACTAGGGGAGACAAAGTATTTTAAGCCTTTTACCCCAATCTCCTGCCTAACACATTCTCAAGAACTTTTTCCAGTAGTTTTCGCATCCTTCCCGCTCTGTGTGTCTGTGACCTTGTCTAGCTTTTAAGATCTGAAGTGGTGAAGAAATGCACCTTGTCTCAGCACAAATTACCTTCACTGCTGAAATCTGTGCCTTATTTCTAGATGGACTTTGTCTGCCTCTACATGGTGCCCATGATGTTTTTATATGTCAGGCAGTGAGAGAGAGCACAGACAAAGCCCAGACCTCTCCTCCCTGATGTGCAGTTCTGGGTTGTGCCACCAAAGGTGGCAGTGATCCTAGGGAAGGACCTGTTTTTAGACTGGTTTCCTAAAGGTACGAAACATATGTGTGGGAGTGAACCTGTTTTTTCAGTGCCCACCAACAATTTTTTTAATTCACTGGTTAACTTCATCCCTGTGTGCCATAGGGGAAGAGCATGAAAGGTATCAGATAGCCACGAGTTTTGGGAGCTTATCTGGTGTGGTGGTGCATTGCACCCCCGCCCTTAGGAACTCTCGTCAAGCCTTGGCCTTGGTGCAATGAGTTTGGCGGTTAAGAGCCCCTTGACCGTACCCAGCACTCTTGCGTAGCTAAGGTGGGGAATGGTACTGACCGTTCCAGGAATTCAGTTGTGGGAGTAACTGATCATCCCCTGATATCCCTGGAACATATTTACTGAATTGTGACTCAGGTGGGTGAGTACCAGTGTCACTGGAATTTTGGGAATTCCAGCAATTACCGACAAATGATTATGGCCAGGATGGAAATTTACTGATGCCTAAAGTCAAACATCTCGTGACCCTATAAACAGCGGTTCTAAGTGAGGCCCTCTGAGCTCTCCTGGACCACAACCGGCTACAACCAGCATCTTCTACTGAGCGGGATGCCTGTCAGAGCTCGTGAACTTTCAAGTTTATGAAGTTAGGAGGACCGTCGCCGAAGACTGATGACAGGACCTGGGCTGAACCTCCCCGCTCCTTGAGGCTCAACCCTCAGCCACTGAGAAATGCAAAGGCATTCGACATGAACATTTCACTGAAGTCAAGGGGAACTTTTTAACAGGTATAACTTTATATTTCTCTATATCTATATCTCTGTGTGTACATGCAATTTACCCTTTAGACAAAAACTGTTGACCAAGTCTAGGACTAAGAGTGGATTCAGCCGCACCTACAATCCTCTCTGAGAAGTTTAGAAAGCAAGGGGGTCCACTCTCAACCTCATGACTCAACAGGAGGGTCTCCCTCATCATCTTCCCTTATCTTTCTATAAATCATACCAACCTGATTCTGACTCGATTTCCCTTTGTATGCTTTTTCCATGTTGAATAAGTGATAGAGTGAACCTTGCCATTGAATTCTGTTGTTATGCTTTTTACAAATTCATATTAAAATAATTTCTTTTCCTAATATCTCTGGCAGTGATTCTTTAAGTGGCCTAAACCACTCATTTGTGACCTCTGGCCAGGTGGATGAAGGATGTTCTTGGTAGGGTAGCCTGGGAGGTAAATTCAGCCCTTATCGGGCATCAGAGAATCCACAGGAGTTCTCAGAACTGTAGGGAATGGGGTTCAACTGGCAGACCGTAGTATCTAAGACAAGGTATCTACACATGGTATCTAGTCACCCCTTACAGGGCATGGGGATCTGGTCCCCACTGCTGTTCCCAGGTCTGTTGGGCCGAATGTCTCCAGGTCTCATGATGGCACTGAATTCACCTCTGACTTCATCTCTGCAGACAGTGGTGGGAGTTTGGACAACCAGTGCATGTGGGAACACTTACACACCATGTCTGAGTTGAGAGACACATCTCTGTCCAGTAGCACTTCAGTGGCCAGGTGGGCATGCTCACCTGTCTGTGACCAGGGGCTTCACAGGTTGAGATGAGGAAACAGAGACCAGCTCTCCATCTTCATCACCTTCATCCTCACTTGAATTCTGGAGCAGCTCGGACTGCTCCATGTCCCCATCCCCTCCTTCTTTCTTCCTCCGTAGGATGGGTTTGGTCATGCCATCAACCTGGTTCCCATAGTTACCTCAAGAGAAAATGTGAAATAAAGTCACAGGGTTGTAACTCCAATCGGGGTCAATCTCTTGGCCTTAATTCAGGTTGGGGAGAAGTTTTCTCTGCAGGAACCATGGGGGACAGCCGAGTTCAACTCTCTGAAACCATGCCCAGGAACCGTAAATTAGTGATGGGTGTCTGTCCCCGGCTCATGTCCCCTCTTGAGCCAGGAGGAATATGCACCCTCTCTTCAGTGGTCGGCCTCAGTAGGCACAAAGCCACATGAGAGAGGGAGCAGGTCCACTGGCCACAGCACAGGATGAGCACAACAGATGATTTGGGGCCCTGGGTAGCTTGTGCTGGTAAAGTAACCATCACCTTCTCCCTAAACTGAGAGCTCTGCATGCTCTGGCATGTGTTGATAAGGAAAATGGGGAAGAAACCCTGCTCTCAGCCTTGGATCTTGCATTCCCCACCAGGCATGCTTCAAAACCACCCTCCCTGAAAAACAACCAACCTATTGTGACTTCGAAGTTGATGGGTTTGTCACCGATCTTCCTGTCGATCATGGTAGCTTCCAGGAAGGCTCCAAAGAGAAAGAACTCCTCCATCTTCCCAGTGCAGTTCTGCAGAAGAAATCGCAGGGATCAGAGTTGAGGTCAGTCAGAGACACACCTAGGAGGACAGGTCGCCTTGGGCAGAGGGGTGCATCACCTGGCACCTCTGAGCACCCTCATGGGCTTTCGGAAGGTGAGATGTCACTGCTTGGGCTTTCAAGGGGACCATGAGGGTTTTCTCTCCCCCCGGCTGAGCTATCTCTAGGCTCATTGCAGAGAGACTGTAATTAAAGATTTTAGCTTAACTTTTAAATGGGTTTAGATCAGTCATCCCTTGCACATGAGGGACTGTCTAAGGGACATTCAGGAATATGAGACTGAGTTTATCCACAAATCGAATTAATGAAAGCACACCTAGCCATCTGCCTGGATGGTCTTTCAGAACTGGAATGGCTTTGTTTCCAGGTGGCTTAATTTCCCCTGGAGGTGAATGAAGGCCACTTTACTTCCGAATGAGAGCTTTCACACAGAGGGTGCACTGCCATCAGACTTCTCCGTTTCTATTTCACACCCTTGGCTCATATGGATTGACATATGTGGGCATCCCCAGGCGGGACAAGCCTGGATGTGTCTGTCTGTGCAGAGAACAGCAGCAGTCTTGTGGGCTCTACGTATCAGGGCTAAAGCTGTGAGGGTTCGCTTGTCAGGAAACAGCCGTTCCATTTCTCTGACCAGTTTCACCCTGACAGAATTGGTTAGGATATAGATTAGATTCTTGGCTTCTGTTCATCTTCAGGATAGGAGTGAGACAGTTGGCATTAGGAGATGGCTCTCTTTGGCCTTGTCTAACTCCCAACTGGAGAAACATCTCAAAGTTGAGGATCCTCCCTCACTCAGATATTTCTTCTGCCCAGCACTCCTAAGAGAGGTAAGCATATGAATGATCATAAAAACTGAAATCCTTGCAAGATTTGCTTTCATTGTGCTGGGGGATCCAGAACACAGGACAACTCTAAATGAAATCCTTGGTTTGTGAAACCAAAGACAAAAAAACAAGAGGCCTGAGACCCAAGACTCACCGCTGGCAGCTGTAGGGTTAGGAGCGACTTACATCAGCAATTGATGTGGCCTGCTCGACTTGCACCTCAGTGGAGCTGTTGATCTCCGGGTTGGTGGTGTCCAAGATCTCCACAGCAAGACTCATCAGAAGCCTGGCCCTGAAGGAGACGCCTTCTCCCAGACCCTCGTTCAGTTCTTGGTGCTCGTCCATCAGGGTGTAGTTCCGGGTGGACCCGTACATGTTCACCCACGCCGGGCCAAAGGTGGGCAGGAAGCCTGCAGCAGACCCAACATGCATGTAGGGAAGGGGATGTGCAAGAAGGAGGGCATGTCTTTGCCTCAGAGTACAAACTCACTCATGGATTGGCATCACTGTCCTGGTCTGTGTATGGCAACGCAGGCTTGAATATGCACGTGTGTGCGTGGAAATACGTGATTGAAACTATACATGGAGACAGTTTTGCAGTGAAGGCAGTGATGGGGATGTGCAGTCCACCAGCCCAAAGATAGAGGTGAGTCTCCCATTTGGTGAGTCTCCAATGTGAGAGTCAAGAAAAAAGAACCTCCCATTAGTCCCCCTTTCTAGAGCCATCTTTGTTTTCACATTGGTCCTGCCTATGTATGCTGGTGTGTTCATGTGTGTGTGAATGGGGGAACCTGTCAGATATTCGTCCATTCATGGCAATGAATTTTTTGTTCTTGGGTGTCTCTGTTTCCAAGTGGTAGACTGGAGGCTTGTGATGGGGCTTGGTTTTCAAAGAGTGCATGTCCAGTGACCTCAGAAAGACCACTGCAGTGAATCAAAGTCTCTCCAGCCGGGCACCAAGAAGCAGCTGTCTTCAGGGGTGGAGAAGGAGCCTAGGCTATTTTGCTAACTCTCTGCCAAAGGGGTGTCTCCCTACCATGAAGAAGGTAGCTTGGTCTACCCCCGCCTTAGCTTTACCTTTGTCTCCTTCGTTAGAGATCTTCCGCAAATCAATGAAGTGGGTACCAATGGCCACATCGTTGACTTTGTCCGAGTCTCGGATCTGGATCTTTATCCGCTTGCACAATGGGGGGAACATTTCTGTGAAAATTATTTGCTCATTCCAGAGAGGCTCATAGCTGCTTTTTTGTATGGATGTCTTCCCCTGCCGAGTGGGAGGAGATCGATGTTTGACAAGGGTTTGAGCTCCTGAGCCATCGCTCACAACCTGAACTGCTCCCTTGCTAATGACCACTGAAACATGCATTCTGCCTTGTGACTCTCCTCTCCCAAGTAACAAGCTCCTTTCCTCAACTGGAGAGTGCTGCAAGCCCACCATAGTCTGCACAAGAGAGGGGAAACATAGCAAATAAGGTGACTTTGCCATGCCTCTCAGCATCTCCATGCCAGGACAGCTAAGATAATTTCTGGCCACCTCTACATGGCTTGTCCTGCTCACGTTACCTCCCAGGGCCACCCTGGTACCAGATGCGGCTTGCTCACCTTCTGCCCTGCAAAGACCACCTGCACGTAGGGGTCTACCAAGTCCTTGTTCTCCCCGATGAGAGCCTTCTTCACATTGGCCATGATGCTGGCGTTCATACGGGGCAGCCCCTCCGCTCGATAGATCTTGATGTAGAAACGAGCCCACTGCCTCTCCGGAGGGACCCCATCTGGGAGGAGGAGGTTCCTGCAACATCGACAGGCAGGGTTGGAAACAGCTACTGGGGCTGGCAGGTTTGTCAGGAGAGGCTTACCAAAGAGAGAGAAGCTGCCCCGCTTCCTGAGCGCAGGCTCTGTGGAGGTGGAAAGATGACCATTTCTGCAGCCATACATTTTGTTGCTCTCCTGTTTCTCCCCATCCTCTGTTTTGGGATGGGGAGTGGTGATTTCATACGCAAAAGTCTTGAGCCCCCTGGGACAATGTGCATTCCACTAAAGGGATATAATCATTATTGTCAGTGGAGTCTAGAGGACAGCTAAATTCAGCCTAATTTAGACATTTAAAGCAGGCCAGATGAACGGGATGTTTTTCTTATCAGGGTACAAGGGGAGCTGGAGTGGTTATTTTAGGGGAAGAATTGAACTCAATCAAATTGTTTTTCTTGCTATATATGGCTTTCTTCTTCTAGGGGGAAGAAATGAGAGCCGTGGGGGTTGCCATGAACAAAACAATTTCTGGAGGAATTGCTGGAGTTGTCCATGAAAAAGTCAGATAATATCAGCACTACTGCATGGAACGACGGCCCAGACTGGTTCACGTGGTGCCGCAAGCCACCTGGTCCCCAGCAAGTCAAGCAAGCTGCACTGGTATTTTGCTACTAGTCTGGGTTTCTGACTGTGGTGAGAGGCTGAGCAGTAGACTTGAAAGCCCGTGGTTGCACTTGGAGGTATTTAATTAGCCTGAAATATTTTGGGGCTGGAACTAAGTTTTAAACATTCCTGATTTTTCTTCCATGGCCTTTTACATGCTCTGGGGAGTCAAAGAGCCCTGCGACCCATGCAGACTGGGAAACCTCACCCAGACCTCCCTGCTCTGTCCTGCCAGCGAGTGATGAGACCCCATCCCATCCAAGGGCCAACAGGAGCATTACATAACCAGTGGGGACATCAGATTGGTTGGCATCAGGCTGACATTGCTATAGAAAGCTCAACAGCCAGCAGATGGCCTGACCTGATAGAAATGACTGGTCTGTGCTTGATATGACCTGGATTTGCACAAGTTATCTGCCATATGTTCTCTCTTCTCAACAACTTGATCCCTCTGGTTTCATTGCACATGGTAGGCATGGGCTATCAGCCTCACCCAGAAGGGATGCTGTCCTCATTGCACAGTCCAAGGTGAAGAGACATGAAAAGTCATTCCCAAGCAAGGCTATGTGAAGCTGGGTCTTCAGATCCTTACCCTTCAATATCATCCTCTTCCGTCTCATTGGCTTTGTGTGGTGTCTTGATGTTGTCCCCTTTCCCTACCACGGCGATGTCACACTTTATGTAACCTTTCAGCCCGGCAGTGAGATCCTCAGGGTCGGAAAGGATGGCCCATTTGTGGTAGAACTGGTGCTCTGGAAGCCAGGGGAAAAGACAGTAATTTATCAGAATGAGACACAACAATTACTGCGAGGACTGGAAACATCCTTCCACTTGAGTGGGGGGACCTGCACATACACGTAAGAGACAACTTCAGGTGTGAAGAATTCAGACAGAAACCCCTGAAAAATTCATTAGGAAGATGTATTTGATGTCGAAGTCTGAGAAGCAATGGGATAAATTATCTGAAGGAGTTTGGAGTCTCCAATGCTGGAAGTCACCATCCCTGGAGGTATTGTGTAGATGTGACGCTTAGGGACATGGTTTAGTGGTGTGCTCGGTAGTGTTAGGTTAAGATTCAATAATCTTAAGGGTCTTTTCCAACCTAAATGATTCTATGATTCAAAGTCTTTATGTCTCAGGTGCCTTTTGGATGGTGTTAGAAAGATTTCATCCTTCTGCGGAGCAGGGAACCAGACTAGATGCTCCTTTAAGGTGCCTCCAGCATCATCTGCTGAGCACCCCTGAAGGGCAGACTTTGGAGGATTCATTTACATCTTAGCTCAGGCTTATTTATAAAGGCAGAGTGCAGCAATAGGCGTGACATAGGAGCAAGGAAAAAAAAAATGCTGTGATTTTGGAGGAATCTTTTTCTGAAGGGGTGTTGCGTGTTCAGCTCTAGCCTGCTGTGAGCACCGGGCCCTCAAAAGGGCATTGTTGTTCTGTTTATCATCAGTGAGCAACACAGCAGCAGCTCTAATCAACCTCTCTCTCTTTTCCATTGCACACCAGGCATCTTCATTTCTTGGTTTAAATGCCAGCCACAAAGGGCAAGATCCATCCCATGACCTCCAGCTATCTGGAAGGTCAATATCTTGCCTAAGTAAGTCTCCTTGGGCTTCCTTCCTCAGCAGGTCAGTGGACAGAGACCAGCACACCCAGAGGGCATCTCAGCCTCTGGCTGTAACTCCTTATTTCTTGATGGGATATACAACCTCCTCCTGAGGTGCAGAGTGCTCTTTCCTGACAGCAGAGGGTAGCCCAGGTGACCATCTTATATCTTGCTATATACTAAAATTAAGTTCGATAAGCATCACCCAAGGAAACTAGCACCTTCCCAGCTACCTTGCAAGGACAGTTATTCAATGGTGCACGTAGGCACATAGGACTGGTTGCAAACAGCATTTACGTACCGGGCTGAGTATAAACTGTTCCAACGTCCATCTTGAAGGAGCCTACCAAAGTCCCACTGCGCAAGAGGTTTTTTGAGTGGATCACCTGGAAATCAAGAGGCAAAAACAGGTCAGACTTTCTTCCATGCCCTGGAGGCCATAAGGCTCTTTCCAGAGGTGTTCAGTGTCAGATGGGAAAGGAGCTGATGCATCTTCCTTGGCCTGTATGAGGACACTAAGAGGCACGGTGGGGTTGCCAGCTCTTGCTTAGCAGTCTTGCAAGCAAGTGTGTTCTTGGATTGAATAGAAAAAAATGCAAAGAAATTAATCTTTAAAACAAGATGCAGTTTTCCAGCCACTATAGTAACAACTGGTCGAAGCGTGGCATAGATACGGATATTCCTAATTAGTGTGCTTCGGTCAGTGAATCTGCAAATCTTGTTCACCGCTCTCCTCCGTCACTGTGGGGAGGGCTGCAGTCTCTGCTTTGCTCTCAGCATCTACAGTCCTGAATTTCCACAATAGCTCTGTCAGTCTCACGCCTCAGGAAATCCTCTCAGGAGGACCAGGAGGGACTTGCTTCTCTCCAAGCTGAAACACGTCCCGGGACAGGTTTAGTTCTGCCTGGCTCTGAAAGGCCAGAGATTAGCCACACAGGGAGACAGTGGAAGCAGGAGTGGAGCCGTGTGGCCCCAGCAATGAGGGTCAGCAAGAGAAAGAGGGACTGGGTGCCTGCAAAAGGGGTGAGGCTCGTAGGACCGAGCACCTCTGTTCCTGTTGGGGGTCTCACAAGGACCTTAGATCCATCCCCAGTGCATACACAAAATGGACTGATTTCTCCCAAAACCCCATGAAAAGGATGAACACAACCACGCTCACTTACAGACAGCTTGATGATCTTGTCGAACATGACATCTGGGGGCACGTGGAAATCGAAGACGAAGTACTGAAAGGGAAGGAGCAGTCGTGGGGGCAGGCAAAAACTCCTTTTGGCTCGAAAGGCAGTGGTATGGTGCCCGCTGCAGCTGGGGAAGCTGTGGCTGCCTGGAGGAGCATCCTGGAGCACCCGTCACAGCAGGGACGGATCTGTGTGAGCCCCAACACTGCCAGCCTCTGCAGTCTGAGGAACTAGAAAGAAGCCCTAACTTCTTGGAAAGAATGAGAATAATTTGGCACAGATCAAGCGAGTACGCTTTTTACCATTTTGCAAAATACCAGAGGTCAAAGGTTTCATTTCTTCTTCTGCGTGGTTTGAGGTTTCATCTTATTCTGACAAGAGGTGACAGAAGAAAAAAAGAAAAAGACCCAAGTGACAAGAAATTACATTTGATTGACTAATAGCAATGTAGACCCTGAGGAGCCGGTAGCCGTGAGTATCACCAGAGGACAGACCCACCTCATTGTAGTAAGGGCAACTGGTCGATTCCTTCATGGATGTGTATTTCTTTTCCTCTCCAACCTCCACGCAGACCACGGGGTCCATGTTGAGCCCAACCAGCTGCCGGGCCTCGATGATGGTGATGCTGACCTGCAGAGAGGGATTCGTGCACCTTCTCCTGAGAGCAGCACCAGATGCCGCTCGCTGCCTTAACCCCTGCCTCCCCACCTCTTGATTTTGAGTCATTTTCGGTGCAATGGTGGCAGCTCTGGGGTCTACTGGTCAAGCCAAAGACACCGGGTTGCTTGGACAAGCCTGAGTGAGCTGCAGCGTGGTGTGGGATGCAGAAGACCCTGGGCATCCCTGTTGCTTCCGCCTCGGAGCATGGCAAGGTGTAAAGCCAAATGGATTTAGCGAAGCTGTGGGAGTGGAGCTTGGCTGGCGAGACCCCAGCTGGCTTCACTTGCTTCTGCTAGAAAACGCAAAGGGGCGATCATTGCAGGTCCCTTCCAACAGGAATATTCTATTCTAGTCTAGTCTACTCCACTCTCCATTATTTCTGGAGGATTCCCCACCATTTCATGGTTCAGCCTTCCTATATGCATGCATACACACATGCTGGTTTATTTAAATTAAGTGCTCGTCTATGTGGTATATGAGAAATAAACTACTTTCAATAGAACGTAAGAAAATCATCCAGATGGAACGCTTGCATGTATTTATGACACAGAAGTTTGTCATTCACAATTCAATCCACCTTGTGACATTAAATTAATATTAGGTATTTAGATAGTCTCTAAATTCATTCCTTGCAATTAAATTCATATTCCTGCTTGGATTATAGCTAAATTTCTTAATTTAACTAAAAAACATAAGGTGCAATTTCAAGTAGGTACCAAGTCTTTTCAATGCCCAGCAGCCATTTTCCTAGAGTCATCTCTTTAAAATCGATCACAAGTTGGTGGTAGGACAGGTAACCTCCAGGTTTCAAAGCATAGTGAATTTGGGTACCATTTAAAATTATTGTTTTAAAATAACATGAGATCTCAGTCCTGGCTAACAGATGAGTTAATTTACACATGCCTTCTCTAGCTGTCGTTAATTATTTTTGTAACTTGAACTCAGCTGTATCTTAAATCATATAATAATGGAAAATAGAAACCTATTAAAAATTAAACTATTATCTTTGTCATTTGGGGAAATTTCATTTTGGCAACATATTAAGAGGCTCGACTTTCAATTGGATTTCTTTAAAACAGGCTCAGATTCCAGTTTAAAAAAAAAAAAAAAAAAAGAAAAACCCGCCCGAAGTTGTGGGATGCTGTGATAATTTAAGCTGAAATATTCTATTTTATTCTAGAGTGCTTCTAAAAGGCAGCTGGTAAAAGGTAGCTGAGCCCTCTGAGGAAGGGGCTGGGGATGACTTTGCTGGGCACCATCCTGCATTGACACTTCGTTCTGCAATAAATCTCTGACAAAACCAGCTATTTGCATCGTTCCAAGATGTCCCCAGGAACGCGTTGCTGTGCTCAGAAGCGGGGACATAAAGCCAAACAGCTGCTGAATCAGCACGGCTTGGCAAAAATGAGAAGAGGAGCCACTTTATGAATCACGCTGGCACCAACCGGTGAACGAAAAGGGAGCGGCAGGGATCATCTGAGCCTTGGGAAACTAAACGTGGGGTTCTTCTAGCTCCAGACGAAGTGGCAGGAGCGGAGCGTCGCTCAACGGGAGAGCAGCAGCCACGTACCAGCCCATCTGAGGAAATCCAGTGAGCGACTTGCTGCCGGCCGGGGCTCACCAATCTCAAATACCAAACAGCGTACTGAAAGCTCTTGAGATGTGAGATAAATGTATTGGAGACAGCCCGTTTCAATCACAGCTTAATTTGGGCTTTCTGGGCTTCACATGATGGAGAGCAAAACCAGTTAATTACTTAACCTGGAGTTTATTGCTCGAGCATTTAAATGCCAGCTCTTGGAAGGTTGTGCTTTGTGAGTGCAGTGTGTTTGAAGCCCAGCATGAACTCATTCCCTGCAAAATGGTTGCCCCCACCCCGGGTTGTGACCCCTGTGGTCTGAGGTTGGGGCACAACGTTGTCACCTACCTGGTAGTCCATTGGCCTCCCAGCACTCGGCTCCATTTTGATGTCAGGCTTGGACCTTTTGGAGGGGCAGAAGAAACCCTCAGTCAAACCACAGACGGACTCGCCGCAAGCTGTGACGGAGCTTTTGCAGGGTCACCCCTCAAAGCTCCTGGCCCTTTTTGAATCTGAGGAACACAAACCCTGGGGGCTGCGAAACCCCACTGAACATTGGTGCTCTTCGTAGCAGGTCAAAAACCACCGGCCGCCTGGGGCAATGTGATTTCCAACGTACCCCATCGGAGGGAACACGGGGTTGTGAGGTGTCTGCCAGCGTGCCCTCACCTCCTGGCTTGCACAAGCCCACATCTGGCCCTCACCTCTTATTCGAGACATTGGTGGTGACAGCCGTGACGGAGGCCAAGGAGATGGTGTCTGGCTCCAGTCCACAGCCCTGTCTCATGGCTTTTCGGTCCAGGTCTTCTGCCTCCAAAACAGCGGGCTCATCTGCATAAAGGAGGCAAAAGAATGTCTCTTATTGTTTCCACCCGATGAATAATTAAGGGTGAAGAGAAAGGTAACCAATACGTCCTATCAACCTCACCTGATAATACAAAGAACAATGGTCACCAGGTCCGGTCACAGACAACCTGGTCTAAAAAGGGATTAAAAAAAGAGGTAGTGCCTCCTGCGACACATTATTCCACCTGGGCAGCATGCCTGTATAGGGTTTTGTGAAGACAAAATGAAAACAGAAAATGATAAACACACCAGACTTCAAGGGGTGAAAAAGCATTTGAGCAAGTGCTGGCAGCTCTAGCTACCAGAAAAGCAGCTGCAAAGATAACCAACTGTCTAGCTTTGGGGTAGAGCGGTCTGAAAAAATATGAGAAAGGGGTCATTTCCCAAGAAGAAAAATTGCTGCACGAGGGTCAAGACCCCAGATCCCACTGGCACTGAGACACAGCTGCGTTGTCCACCCATGTGCATTTCTATCAGAAGAAGTTGCTGAGATACCGCCTCTCCTGCGCACCGTGTGCGTGCCATGCCTGCCCTCCTGCCTTTGCTTCGGTCAAGAGATGACCACAAATCAGCAGTGATTTTGTTCCATTGGACCAAAACCATCAGCTGTTGGAGGACTGGTTTGCTTTGGTGGCACAGCTGTATGAATCCACTGGTACAGCACAGATGCTGCTCCCGGGAAACAGGTTCCCTGTGTCTTTACTGATCTAGGCAAGCTTGCTCCAGGAGATCGGCATGCTCCAAGAGACCAGAAATCAGGTTTTTCACTGTAGTCTGGCCCGTTTTTGTGACATAACATGGGCTTCAGCTGAAGCGAGGGAGATAGAGGCTGGCTGTTAGGAAAAGCTCTCCATCAGGGCGGAGAGACACACTGCTGCGTGTTGGGTGGGGAAAGGGTGTCCTCAACTCAACTGCGAGCTTTTGAGATTGAGCCAGAACCGTACCAGCCAGGAAGGACCTAAGCAGGTTCGAACCTGCCGTGTGCGGGTGGGCGGACAGACTCGCACCCTCCCAGCTTGGTTTTCGGTGATGCAGTTGGTCTGTTTGGCCTGAGCAGGACCAGCAGTCTGCGTGGGAGGAAAGCAGACCATGGCACAGGAGGGATGCTGGCTTGTCCAACAGGCGGAGGGTGCAACACACCTACTCCATCCCATCACCAACTGGCCAACCCAAGGGTAGGAGTCACAACTGAGACAGCACTGAGGCTGAGCGGGGAGGTTGGTGTTAAGAGAGCAGAGCCCTGGTGAGGTGTGTGAAAGCCAGAGGTACCTGGGGAAGGTGGAAGAAGGAGCCCCATGGCTGTGCAGCACTGACCACACCACGCAATATAGCAGCTGTGTTGCAACTGTTCCCCACAACACACACCCTGCTCCTGCCTTTGCATCCCAGCTGCTTTCCCCGTGGTCTTGTGTGAAGCTTTAACCATGAGATGAGTACCCGGGCACTGGGCAGAGATGGAGGCCACCCGGGTTTCGCTGCCATGCCTTGCCACAGGCTGCCAGTACCTCTACCCACGCTGGTGTCCCAGGCCAAATTCCCCTTTTCCTGTCCTCAAACTTGGCTGAAAAACCGGTGGAGACTTTCCCAGAAACACTATCTAAAGCAATGCTTTGTCCTCGCCTGCAAACACACGTTCCTGCATTTCTTTGCCCTGGAAACCCAATCCTTTGATCTGAATGGAAACAACAATGAATTTCCGATCGCTGACCCTCCCGTGCATCTCCAGAAAGGCGTCCGATGTCAGCAGCCCTCCCTCTCGCTGTGCTGCTGCTGCACCGTGCACCCAGCAAGGTGCCGGAGCTAACTCCTGCTTTGCATTCGCAAATCATCCCTGAAAATAAGCTGGAAGCTGCCCGCGTGGCTCCCGGGCTTTGCCACAGTGGCAGAAGGTGGGTGATGCCTGGCCAAGCCATCCATCAGTTCCTGCTTCCCATTGGAACCCCCCTCTCCAGCTCTCCTCCTGAGCACCCAACGCTTCCTCGTCTAATCCCCGAGTTTCCGACTGTGCCTGATGGAGCCACTGCAGGGACAGACCTTTTAGAAGGGCCTGTAGCCACAGGACAAGGGGTGACGGTTTTAAACTAAAAGAGGGGAGATTCAGACTGGATGGAAGGAAGACATTTTTCCCAGTGAGGGCGGGGAACCCCTGTCCCAGGTTGCCCAGAGAGGTGGTGGATGCCCCATCCCTGGAAACAGCCCAGGTCAGGCTGGACGGGGCTCTGAGCAACCTGCTCTGGGTGAAGATGTCCCTGCTCACTGCAGGGGTGGGACTAGAGGCCTCTGACGGCCCCTTCCCACCCAAACCCTGCTGTGATGCTATGGGGTTTCTCAGGTGCTTTCCTGGGATGTGGAGGAGAGCCAAAAAGCAGCACTGGAGCAGGGAACAACCTCCTCCCAGGAACAACATACCTTGTTTCCGATGGTCATCCTTCGATGGACGTGTCTTGCCAAGCTTCATGGCTGAAAAAACTCCTTTCCCGGCTCTAGAAGAAGAGAGGAAGGAGAAAAAAAAAATAATCAATTACTGTATTTTTAGTGGTGTTTTCTGTGACTTGAGGGTGGGAACAGCAGGAGCTTTTCACAGCTCAAAAGCAAGAGAGAAAATAGCAGCTGCAGGACTGAGCAGGGCTGCTGCAAACATGCCACAGGGCAGAGTCGAGATGGCAGCTGAACACACCGCCTTTGAGGCCTGGGTCTCGTTTTTTCCTCAGGGAATGCTCCAACACACGAGGCTGGAGCACAGCGTTGGCCGCCAAGAAACTCTTCCCCCCGACCCATGCCTCCCGTCTCTGCTGCCGGCCCCCGCTCTGAAGAGACTTCTCATCCCTCCCGACCCGTTTGTGCGATTTACCTAAAACCGTCGCATAAAAACTAAAAGATCCAACCGCTTCCTCCTCCACCTTGCTGTGAAAAATCAGTAACCTCTTTGGCCGGACCAGCAGCAAACCTGTGCAGGTCCCAAGGTTTCTCAGCAGCCCATTGCAGCAACGTGATTTTTTTCCTTCCAGCGCGGTCAACGCCGGCACCGGGTCGGTCTTGGCTGCCTGGCTGCAGTCTAGGCTGGGGTCAAAGTCACTCCAGTTTGGGCTGGACTGGCTGATAAAAATAATGGTTTGCAAATGGCTGGCCAGTTGCTTTCTAAAAATATCCATCGTTTCAAGGCAAGTTTAAGAAGGAAAACTTCTTGCTTCCAGAATGCTTCCGTGGGGCTAGGGCTGGTACTGCAGCTCAGAAATCAGCCAGTGCAGCCGCAAGTGCACACGTACAGCAAATATACACAAATACAGCACTCGGCAAATAACAGGGCTTTCTGCGCTGCAAACCGGATCGCTCCGACCGCTAACGGGCAGAGATTGTTAAAGACAATGAAAGCCTTGGAGGGATTCCTGGGAAAGCGTTCCCCGTTATTTGGGGGTAAGTCCATGCTGCTGTTGCAAAGAGGTGGGAGTTACGGAGTCTGGATGTGATGTGGATTTTGAGCCTGAAGATTCAGCGGAAAAACCTCAGTAGGAAAAAAAACCCAAAACCCTTCATCGTATCTGCAAAACTGAAACCAGCAAGAAGCACAAGTCAGGCCGCGTGATAACCCTGTTCTAGTATTAGAGAGCAAACAGCTGGAGAGAGACTTGAAGGCAATGGCCTGTGACTGTCCCAAAAGCAGAGGGTGGTAAAGTTGAAAGGGAATTTTTTTAGTCGGAAAATTCCATTACCTGGAAGTGTTGCTCTTGTCCATCAAACCTGCAAAGTTTTTGCAATGTTTTGCAAAGTTTTTGCAAAGCTTGGAAGCAAGGGGGAACCTCACCTCCAGCCTGGACCTCACCTCCAGCCTGGACCTCACCTCCAAGCTGGCTGCCGAGGCAGGGGAGCCAGGGCTCAGCACCAGCCCTGGACGCAGCAGGACTGGGACGTGGTGCCCATGAGCCAGGTGACAGCAGCAAAGCTGCAGAACCCCCGGTCTCTGCTTTGGTCACATCTGGCTGGGGCCAGAGGGTGAAGGTCCACCCTTTTTTTGAAAAACAAAGCAGTCCTGGCGTTGCAGCCAGCCTGATGCGCTTGTTGTCTTAAATAACAGCTGGAAGTTTGCAGGAGCCAGAGCAAACGAGAAGAAAATCAAGAATAGGAGGATAACGTATTCACCAAGGGAGGGGGAATTTGATCGGAGCAGAAGGCCAGCGTAAGAAACAGGAGCTATTTCCAGCTGAGGTTTAACTGGGACTAAAGCAATGCTCGGCCCTCAAGGCAGTCGCTGGCTTTATTTTAATTCACGGGATCCTCAGCGAAAGGGCAGTTTCTCAATGGATAGAAGGAGAAAGGACGAGGAGTTGGTTTCCATATCTGAAATCCTGCCAGGGAACATCTGCCCCAAGGTGCTGCGGGGGAATTAACACTTTTAAGCTATTTGCAAATTCATTTTGTTATGAGCAAACGCTGTAACCGCTCAGGCTGTGAGACCGCTCTCCACCACCGAGTGTCGGGAATCCAGCAGACACACAGCCCCACCGCACGACAGCACACCTCCGGGGTCGGTTACATTACATTCCTTTCTTTCTGATTAATTTCTTTAAAACGGAGAGGAAAAAAAAGCCCCACCAGCCCCAGAGCTGCCACACAGGCAGTTTGCTCACGGATGGTTAGTGATGAAATCACCATATCTCGTCCCGGGAATTTCTGCGGTTTCTTGGGAAGTGAAACAAAGCAGAAGAGCAACTGGTGACGGAGCCAGTAGGACTCTGCAGGGAAGACACTGGCAGTGCTGGTCCTCTACCAGGACCCAAAATGACGATAATCCTTGCACGGGCACGGAGGATGCGCTGGGTCCTGGTTAGCGCAGCATCCGAGGCCCCCACCAGTGAAACGATGCAGCGGCGTTTGGGCCATGTGGAACAAGACTGGGATGAAGCACCCGGTCCAAGGAGCAGCACCAGCCCAACCCAGCTCCTTCCAGAGGGATGCACGTGAGAGACGGTGTCACCCCCTCCCCTTCGGGAGCGATGACGCCTGCGCTGCCAGCTTAGCCCCAGTAAATGTCCTGGGGACATCGGCTGCAGGAGCCTCTCTTGGGGCCCCAAAACCAGTTTTACTCCAGAAGAGGAACCAGAAATGGGAAACTGCCTGACAGCCTCTGGCACATCCATGAGATGAGCCTCAGCTCTAGCTAGTCTGGAGAGCAGAGTCCAGAGGGCACAAGGTCCCTCGGTGGCACAAAACTTCAGGTGCTGTCCCCACGCCCGCATCCCGGCCACATCTCCCTCCTGCTCTTCGCAGCCCCGGTTACAACGTCTGGCACTGCCTCCTTCCTTCACCAGTGCCCTTACTGGTATCATCACAGCGGACTGGAGCCCCAGGGAGGTAAATATCTAGGAAACAATGAAGTTTGGGGGTCACTGAGAAAATAAAAAAAAAAAAAAAAGAAAAAAAAGAAAAAGGTGGATTTTGGCAGCATGCTTTGTGTGGGAGGAGGAGAAGGGAGGAGGCAAGCGAAGGATGAGGAAGGAGCCGTCCCGGATGCTTTGGAGGCAGATGTCCAGCCGCT